GGTCCTGCCCCCCACACCACACTGTCACACAGGGCCTGCCCACCACACCACACTGTCACACAGGCCCTGCCCCCCACACGGGGACACAGCACACTGTCACACGGCCCTGCCCACCACACCACACTGTCACACAGGCCCTGCCCCCCCCCACACGGGGACACAGCACGCTGTCACACAGGGCCCTGCTCCCCCCCACACACACGGGGACACAGCACACTGTCACACAGGCCCTGCCCCCCACACACACGGGGACACAGCACACTGTCACACAGGCCCTGCCCCACACACGGACACAGCACACTGTCACACAGGCCCTGCCCCCCCACACACACGGGGACACAGCACGCTGTCACACAGGGCCCTGCCCCCCACACAGGGACACAGCACACTGTCACACAGGGCCCTGCCCCCCCACACACACACGGGGACACAGCACACTGTCACACAGGCCCTGCCCACCACACCACACTGTCACACAGGCCCTGCCCACCTTGCCCGCGTAGTAGAAAGGGAACCAGAACAGGAGTAGATCGCTGAAGAACTCGACCAGACCGAACAGGGCGTACACCACCCAGTAGGTTAGCCACACAGTGTCGTCTTCCTTGCTTGGGCTCTCGATGGCTTTGACTCTGTGCAGACGGGAATGCACATGGCTACTCGGGTGCTCCCCGGGAACCCCGGAGCCCTCCCCGCCCCGTCCGAGGCCCCGCCCCGCCCGCGGCCCCGCCCCGCCCCCGGCCCCCGCCCGCACTCACGAAGCATATGCGGGGTATACAAATCCGATGACATTGCACAGTAGAGACGCCCCGTAGCCGAACAGAAGATACAGGCTTAGGAGGGCGAGGGCTCCTGGAAGACAAGGGTGGCCCGCAATGTCCCTGGTGTCGTCTGCAGCCTGCACCTCCTTCCTGGTGACACTCCGGGCAGCGCATCCCGGCTGCTGCCTTGAACCCTGGTCTCATGTCTGCTGTATCCCCCTCATGGGGTGGGAGCGCCCGAGTGCCCCAGAGCTGGCAAGGACCTCATTCAGCTCCAGGCTGGGGCTCGGTTTGGGGTCAAGAGTTCGTTTGTTTGTTTGTTCTTTTTTTCTTTGTCTTTTTCTTTGAGACAGGGTCTCACAATGCAGCCCTGGCTGGCCTCAAACTCACCGAGAGCTGCCTGCTGCCATCTCCCGAGTGCTGGGATTAAAGGTGTGCTCTGCCGCGTTGGCTGGTTTGTTGAAGTTTGTTTGTTTTTTAAGATTGTGTCTTGCTTTGTAGCCCAGACTGGCCTTGGACCCTGGCTCCTCCTATCTCAGCCTCTGGAGTGCTAGTGTGATAGTGTACACACAGAGTACACTTCTATGCCGTGAGTTCAGTGCCAGCCTGGGCTACGTGAATCCATGTCTCAAACCCTGCTACCTAGAGGGTTGATCAGATGCTTTCCATGCGAGCATGGTGACTTGGGCTTGGGCCCCCAGCACATGCCCCAAAAGAAGGCAAACAGGCTTGCTGCACTGTGTCTGCTGCCCCGGCACTTGGCAGAGGGGACAGAGACGAACGGATCCTTGGACCTCATTAGACAGTCACCACAGCAGCAAGCTGCAGGTCCCGGGAAACGCCGTCTCCAGAGAGGGGAGAGTGGCCGGCCAGAGGGTGCAACAGGGAAAGACACTTGCCAAGTAATCGGGGACGCCCGATCTGATGGCTCCAACAACTCGATGGGAGGAGACACACACACACTCACACTCACACACACTCTCACACTCTCACACTCACACACACACCCTCACACACACTCACGAACTCACACACACCACACAGACACACATACACTCACACACACACTCACTCACACACACACAGACACACTCACACACACACACACTCACACTCACACACAGACCCTCACACACACACTCTCACACTCACACACACACACTCACACCCACCCCCCCCCACACACACTCTCTCTCCTTGGTTGTTTGGGGGGCTGTGCTATTCCATGTTCTACAGTCCCACCGATCAGATCTCCACACACTGGAGTGTCCGCGGGCCGGTGAGGCCGGCCCTGTAGCTCCCTCACTGTCCCTTACCACATTCGAGGGAGCGGCCTTCTGGCCATTAAGACATTCTTAGCAATGAAAAGCCTGGGGCTTTGGCTGCCATTGTAAACTTGATGCTAGAAAGGGTCATGGGGGTGGGGGGGCTGGAGAGACGGCTCAGCGGTTAGAGCACTGGCTGCTCTTCCAGAGGTCCTGAGTTCAATTCCCAGCAACCACATGGTGACTCAACCATCTGTAATGGGATCTGGCGCCCTCTTCTGGCCTGCTGGGCCAGATACGTGCAGACAGAACACTGTATACATAATAAATAAATAAATCTTAAATAAAAAAAAAGAAAGAAAGAAAGAAAGAAAGAAAGAGTCATGGGAGAGCTGGGAGCATGTGGGAAGGTGCTGGGGGCCTGGGGCCTTGTGCACTCCCGGGAAGGTCAGAGGTTAGGCTGAGCTGGCAGATGGGAGAGCTTATCTGTGAGAGGGGACCTTTGCCCTCGGGGTAGCTGGGGCCCAGATGTCTCCTCCTTCCTTCCCCCAGACTTATCTGCTGGGACACAGGCTTCTGTGTCTAAGGTCAGGGTACCTGCCCCTCCTTCCACCTGCTCTGGGTCTTATCCTCCAGGACCTGAGGCTGAAGAGGAGGGGGACCCAGGGGGCTAGGGTCACCTTCCCATCACTGCCCTGAGTCTAAGCTGCCCGCCTCATTTCGGGCCTGGGGGCACAGGGTGCCCATTTGGAGCAGCTGAAACCTAAGAATCCATCTCTATTGAGATAAGTGTCCTGAAGCAGGTGGGGGATGCCACCCCGTCTCCCCGTCTCTGGGATTGATGGGGGAAGGGCTGTCCTAGTGTACTGGGCCCTCAATCTCTTTAACTGCAACCTCAGCGGGAGGAGGATAATCGTGGACACCAAGCCCATAGGGCAGGGAGAGGAGACTCAGTGACAGAGGGGCAGGACGTGGAGAGATGGACAGCTTTCCAACACAGCCCTGACCCCTGTGCCTCAGTCTCCTTCCTGGTGACACCCAAGCTGTTCCCCTCCTGGCCACCCCCTCCCCGGGTACTATGATGTAATTTCCCTAGTGATGGGGAAACCCTGATCAGAGGTTGCAGTCTGTACCTGGGGCGCCCTGCACAGTGGGAGTGTCACCCCAAGGAGAGGGACATCCTGGGATCTGGGCACAGATACCAGAAACACACACACACACACAGGGACGGGAGTCCACCCTCCAGCTAGTGAGGAAGTGAGAGAACACAGAACTCTTGGGATCCGTCTGTCTGGAGAAGGGGCTTCATGACCTGGGATACAGGTCACATAGAACCCCCATGGCCTTGCGATTCAGGAAGGGACTTCAGGACAAGGCTGTGGGATTCTGAAGACACAAAAAGGGGGCACATGAAAATCATTTTGGAAAGACACAGGGGCCCTTATCACATTTGCAGAAAGGCCTGAACTAGAATGGACCTACAATTGGGATACTTGGATGGTTCCTCCCCCAGGCTCCCAACCCCCCAAATCCCAGCTGACACCTCAGTTAAACATTGACTCAAAGCTATTGTGTTGCGGCAAGAGGAAGAGGTCAGGGTGCTGGGTCAGTCTCCATGTTCCAGAGATGCATGGACAATTTCTCCATGAGAATATTCGAGAAGGGTTTGGGAACATGCAGTGGACTGAGTGGGGGCGTCCCTTGTTTCTCCACCCACACAGGGGTCAGCTGGGCCACTGGAAAAACCAGACTTGCAGGAACTTGGGGCCTGGTATGCAGCCAGGGCCCCAGGAAGAGGCAGGCTGCACCGCTTCGGAACACTAGGGTGGCCTTTTCCAAAGACCTTGGAGAAAAGGCAGACAAATTAAAGATCCTCTTCTCCAGAATCTAGAATAAGACCCCACAGGCAGGTCAGAGTCCCCAGGCGTCGGGGTCCATGGGGGAACCAGAACATGTTCCCCTTGCATGGATGAGGGCTCAGGACATCTTAGTTTCCTGTTGGACACTCAGCTGTGCACCTCTTCCCAGGCAGGATGGGACCCTAGAGTCAGGTCCGGGTGCCTAGACCCTCAGGCCTTTCGCCAGGTCCCTCAGGGACCTGAGATAAGCAATCCTTCCAGGTCTGAGTCTTTACGGCCTTGCAGAGGCCCTCAGGGACCAGGTAGGTCAGAGTCGCCAGGACCTCACGACGCCTAAACAAGGACTCGGGATGTGAGTCCCTTTTAGGGATACCGCAGCTAGCTCTGAGCTCCCAGAGCCTCCCACAACCCGTCGGGAGACCTAAGACGGGAACCGCTCCCAGGGCGAGGGCACCCAAGCCTTCACGGTGCCCGTCCGGTCCTTGGGCCATGGCCCCCTTTCCAGGGATGGAACCCAGGAGCCAGGTCTGGGTTCCCGGGGCCCCCTGGAACCCGTCTAGGACCCGCGACGCGCGCCCTTGCCAGGGATGGGACCCAGGACCTCACGGCGCCCGTCGGCGACCCGCGACGTGCACCCCTCTTCCAGGCTCACCCACGGCGAGATACCGCTTCTCTACACCGGTCCTGGCTTCGAGCGCCCCGAGCGCTTCGGTGGCAACGTTCTTCTGTTCTAGAAAACGCTCGAAGCGCTGGCGCAGACCGTCCATGGCAGCGGCGGGCGCGGGGCAGCCCGCTCAAGCACACCCGCAGCCTCGCGCACCGGCCGCCCCGAGAGCGCACGGCCCTGACCGCCCGCGCACCGCCCGGCCCCGCCCCCGGCCCGCTGCTTTCAGCCCCCCGCCCTGGCTCCGCCCCCGGCTCCCGGCTCTGGCCAATGGGAGGGCAAGGCGGACAAAGGAGGTGGGGCCTGCCCCGTCTCCCCCGCCGCATGGCCCTCTGGCCAGGGTGGAGGCCGGCGGAGCCTCGAGGAGGCCGGAGGGGGCGGGGCGCCAGGCTTCCGGTGCGTTGATTGGTCAGGAGGGAGTGGCACGGTACTGATTGGACAAGCCGTTGATTATTGACGGTGAGCGGTTAAAAGTGGGTGGAGCTAGCCGAGGAACAGGTGGGAGGTGCCCGGTTAGGGCCAGTGCTGATTGGACAGGCTAGAGAAGGCGGGGTTGATCACAAAGGAGGCGGGACTACGGTGGGAAAGAACGATGCTGATTGGAAGACCTGGGGAGGCCGGGCTGACTCTCGGAGGAGGGGCATAGAGGAAAGTGGGGGGAGCCAAATAGAAGGTGGAGGGTGCCCCTGTGATCTTGAACCTGCTCCTAAGGGCCAAATAGAGGGGTTGTCCTTGTATAAGTGGGGAAACTGAGGCCCCCGACAGCTTAGGTCTGTGTGGATGTCTCTCCATGCGGGATATCGCCACCCCTCATGGGTAGGGGGGAAAGAGGAAGCCGCAGGGCCCCTTGGGAGTTGAAAGCTTCAGGGTTGCTATGGTGTCCGGGATGGGGTGGCTTCCGGAGGCCCCGCCCCCCGCCCCGCCCCCCGCTATGCGGCCCTCCCCGACTGCGCTGTGGCTGGGTCTGGCCTCGGCTTTGGCCCTGCAGGCTGTGGGGTGGGCCTCAGCCCGGGCCCCTATCTATGTCAGCAGCTGGGCCGTGCGGGTGACCAAAGGTTACCAGGAGGCTGAGCGCCTGGCACGTAAATTTGGCTTCGTCAACCTGGGACAGGTGGGTGGGACCTGGATGGACGGGACACGGGGTGGGGACCTGGAGGGCCCGGACAGGTGGGGGGGGTCCCTCGGGTATGAAGAAGGCGTCTGCGTGCCCCCCCCCCGTGTTCAGTTTGGGACCCCGCCGCGGAAACTGGACTCCGTCCTCGGGGACTCTGTCCAAGGAGCAAGGTCCCAGCCGATGCCCCTGTCCGTCCCATTTCCAGATCTTCCCTGACGACCTGTATTTCCATCTACGGCACCGGGGTGTGGCCCAGCAGTCCCTGACCCCGCACTGGGGCCACCGTCTGCGCCTGAAGAAAGAGCCCAAGGTGAGTGAGCCCATGGCTGCGATCGAAGGAGAACCAGCCGCCTTCCGTCAGTCTGGTTCTTGCTATGAGAGAGGCCTGTCGGTTTGCGAGGGGGGGCCTGCCTGGGGAAGTCATGGATGAGCATGGCATCTCCACAACATGGCACTGGGGGGGGGGGTCTTACTGGTGGGCCCCGCGCCGCTTCTCAAGGATGGACGTCCTCGGGCACTGCTCCTTTCCCGCTCCAAGCCCTGAGATGTAGGGAAGGGAACTGGTCCATTTCAACACCCCGGGACACTGTGCCCCAGGCGAGAATCAGTGAGTGTGCAGCTGAATCGGGAGGGAGCAGAGCCCATGGTGTTGGGGAACTTCTCTAAGCACATCCACAACGGGCCAGGCCTCCCTTAGGAACAGCTCTTAGCAAGGAACCGGCATGGGGTCGTGTGGCCACAGTGGGTCACAAGATGCACTCAGGAGGTGCTCACCTTCAGCATCAGGAACTGTCTTAGTTACTGTGCTACTGCTGTGACAAAAAACGCCACGATCAAGGCAACTTATAGAAAGAAGAGTTTATTGGAGCGCACAGCGTCAGAGGGCGAGTCCGTGAACCCCACGGCGGGGAGCGTGGCAGCAGGCTGGCACGCTGGCACGCTGGGGCAGTGGCTGTGAGCTGACATCCACAAGGAGGAAGCAAAGAGCCCTCGGGGAGACTGACCTCAAGGCCTTCCACCCGCCTCCCAGTGCCACGCCTTCGCCAACAAGGCCACAGCTTCTAGTCCTTCCTAAACCACTGGGCACCAAGCATTCCAACAGAAGAGTCCTTCCAACCACCACAGGGACTGTCTTCAGAGCCAAACCCCGAGGAAAGGGGGAAGACCAACAGGAGGAGGAGGAAGGGGGAGAGAGAGTGTGGAGCGAACGAGAGAGGAGATGAGACGAATGGGTGGATGGAGAAGGGGACCTGAGCTGGTTTTGACTGGCAGAACAGCACACATGAAGGTCCTGGGGTGAAAGAGAATGCATGAGCTCGTTCCTGGTTGCTGGCTGTAGCTGAGTGAGGAGCAGGCTGACTGCTGAAGGCCAGTGGGGCGATAGGTGTGGTGATGGTGGACCAAGGGGGAGGTGACAGGGCCTAGGG